TACCTATTTGTATAACATTTACTATACTTAGGCCAGCAAGAGGTATTTGGCATTGCTAAAGGTGCCTACAGTGGACAAAAAGTCAGCTTAAGTCTAGAAATTATCTTTACCTATGACTGTGGGACCTATTTATATAACATTATATAACATGAATGCAGAGGCGTAGCTAGGGGGGGACAGGGGGGTACATATGTACCCGGGCGCCAAGGTACAGGGGCGCCAAAATGAGGCTTACAACCAGGGGCGTATTTGCCACGAGGCAAACAAGGCTTTTGCCTAGGGCATCACTTTTTAGGGCCCCCCCCCTTCCAACGGAAGGGACACTTAGTACAGGGGCGAGCAGCGGGCTGCTGTGTCTTACCTGGCTCCGTGTCCCAGTCCCACGACAATCCAGTCCAGGAGGCGCTGCTGGAGGAGGAGTAGAGAGGTCTGCAGGTCCAGTGTCTTCTTTTCCCTGGACGCGATGTGTGGGCGGGATGACATGCTGCCCCTGTCATCTGGCCACACCCTCGGGATCACTGGACAGCCTGTGGCAGCTTGTACCTCCCTCTGCAAGCTCCGCCTCCTCACCAGTGATTGGGCGCCAGAACTGTAGCTCAGGAAAGGCACACAGGCGGCCAATCACCTGCAAGGAGGTGGAGCTTGGAGAGGAGGAGCCGAGTGGGAGCGTGAAGATTGAGTGAGGGAGCGGCCAGAGCAAGTGAAGAAGACAGCTGACTGGTAAGTGTGCCGTGCAGATGGTGCTTCGACCAAGTATGCTGGCTGTGGATGGGAGAGGGAAGGAGCCTAGGCTGGAGCAGGGGTCAGCAAGGTAAGTGTCATTGGTGTCAGTGGGAGGAATAGTGCCCCATCATTGGTGTCACTGATGTGATTAAACAGGGAGGGGGGCTGGGGCGCCAATTTTATAGTTCGTCCTCAGGCGCAAAATATCCTAGCTACGCCTCTGAATGAATGTCAGAAGCATTGGTGCAAGCTGAGCAAAATGTCACCGTAATTTTTCTAAGAGATTAATACCTGTACCATCCACTCCATCTAGGGGCCAAAATGTGGTATAGTTTTCTCATAGAAGTATTTCAGAAAAATATACCACATTGCAAAAGCATGGGAAAAAAATGGGCATGTATTGCAAGATTTTTTTTTTTTTTTTTGCAGTGACATATGCTTTTATTGATCATGAAACAATTATTTGAAAGGCAGCTGCAAATATAAACGATCCTTAAAGTATAACTAAAGGCAAAACTTCTTTTTTTTTTTTTAGTTTTGGATACAGTGGAGAGGGATTAAAACACCTTTTTACATGCCCCCATTAGTGAGATTCACTCTCTATTTGTTTTCTTTATTATCTTTGAAAGTGAAAGGTAAAAGAAAATCCCAGATTTTGCATTGTTCCCGGAACAGGATCAGAGGGGAAATTTTCCAATGGGGGCACTTTTTATGATGACCTGGGGGGCACCAAGGGATTCCCTTAACCACTTCAACCCTCTGCCAATTCTGACATTCCTCTCCTACTTGTAAAAATCAGCAATTTTTTGTTTTTTGCTAGAAAATTACTTAGAAACACCAAACATGATATATCTTTTTTAAGCAGAGGTCCTAGAGAATAAAATGGTGGGTGTTATGTCTCATGGTATTTGCGTGGCGGTTTTCAAACACAATTTAAAAAAAAACACTTTAAAGAATTTTAATGCACAAAAACACAATATAACCCACAATTGTTTGGTAAAATATAAAAGAAGATGTTACACCAGATAAATAGATACCTAACATGTTAGGCTTTAAAATTGTGCACATTCATGGAACGGCAAAAAACTACGATACATTAAATTATCTATAGGCAACACTTTAAAAGCCTTTACAGATTACCAGTTTAGTGTTACACAGGAGGTCTGGTGCTAGGATGATTGGTCTCACTATAACGTTTGTGGCGGTATCTCACATGTGTGATGCGAACACTGTTTACATATGTGTGCTAGACGTATGTATACATTCACCTTTGCGCACGGACAGGTAGAGGGGGGTGCTTTAACATTGTTTCAAAAAAAAATTTATTTTTACTCTTTCTTTCTTTTTCTCTCTTTCTTTCTTTCTTTCTCTCACTTTCTCTCTCTCGCTTTCTTTTTCTTTCTCTATCTCTCTTTCTTTCTCTCTTTCACTTTCTGCGGTATCTCACATGTTGGTGCGAACACTGTTTACATATGTGTGCTCGATGTATGTACACGTTCACCTTTCTTTCTTTCTTTCTTTCTTTCTTTCTTTCTTTCTTTCTTTCTTTCTTTCTCTCTCCTCCCCCCCCCCTCTCTCTCTCTCTCTCTCTTTTTTTTTTCTTTCTTTCTCTCTCTTTCTTTCTTTCTCTCTCTCACTTTCAGCGGTATCTCACATGTTAGTGCGAACACTGTTTACATATGTGTGCTCGACGTGTGTATATACATTCATCTTTCTCTCTCTTTTCTCTCTCTCTCTTTCTATCTCTCTCTCTTTCTCTCTCTTTCTCTTTCTTCCTTTCTTTCTCTCTTTCTCTCTCTCTCTTTCTTTCTCTTTCTCGTGTATATCTCTCTTTCTTTCTCTCTCTCACTTTCTTTCTCTCACCCTTTATTTTTTTTTTTCTCTATCTCTCTCTTTCTTTCTCTCTTTCTCTCACTTTCGGCGGTATCTCACATGTTGGTGCGAACACTGTTTACATATGTGTGCTCGACGTATTTATATGTTCACCTTTCCTTCTTTCTTTCTCTTTCTTTTTTCTTTTCTTTCTTTCTTTCTTTCTTTCTTTCTTTCTTTCTTTCTTTCTTTCCCCCCCCTTTTCTCTTCTTTCTTTCTTTCTTTCTTTTCTCTCTCTCTTTTTCTCTCTCTCTCTTTCTTTTTTTTTACATGTGTGTGCTCGATGTATGTACACGTTCACCTTTCTTTCTTTCTTTCTTTCTTTCTCTCTCTCCCCCCTCTCTCTCTCTCTCTCTCTTTCTTTTTTTCTTTCTCTCTCTTTCTTTCTTTTTCTCTCTCTCTCACTTTCAGCGGTATCTCACATGTTAGTGCGAACACTGTTTACATATGTGTGCTCGACGTGTATATACATTCACCTTTCTCTCTCTCTTTTTCTCTCTCTCTTTCTATCTCTCTCTCTTTCTCTCTCTCTTTCTTCCTTTCTTTCTCTCTTTCTCTCTCTCTCTTTCTTTCTCTTTCTCTCTCTCTTTCTTTCTCTCTCTCACTTTCTTTCTCTCACTCTTTATTTTTCTTTCTTTCTCTATCTCTCTTTCTTTCTCTCTCTCACTTTCGGCGGTATCTCACATGTTGGTGCGAACACTGTTTACATATGTGTGCTCGACGTATTTATATGTTCACCTTTCCTTCTTTCTTTCTCTTTTCTTTCTTTCTTTCTTTCTTTCTTTCTTTCCTTCTTTCCTTCTTTCTTTCTTTCTTTCTTTCTTTCTCTCTCTTTTTCTCTCTCTCTCTTTCTTTTTTTTCTCTCTTTCTTTTCTTTCTCTCTCTTTTTTTTTCTTTCTTTCTCTCTCTCACTTTCAGCGGTATCTCACATGTTGGTGCGAACACTGTTTACATATGTGTGCTTGACGTGTATATACATTCACTTTTCTCTCTCTCTTTCTCTCTCGCTCTCTCTTTCTTTCTTTCTTTCTTTCTTTCTTTCTTTCTCTCGCTTTCTTTCTCTTGCTTTTCTTTCTCTCTCTCTCTCTTTCTTTTTCTTTTTTTTCTCTCTCTCACTTTCTTTCTTTCTCCTGCTTTCTTTCTCTTTCTCACTTTCCTTGTTTCCTTCTTTCCTTAGGCTGGCCATACACTAATCAACTTTCTGTTCAGTTTCTGCCCAATTTCCTTTAGATTTACCTTCAACTATGTAGTGCAAGAGCCTGCCTAATTGGATACAATTGAAAGTGTTGTTTAGGTCTGACCTCCTATTATATGGTTTTTGGTACATCTGAAGCAATTTTCTAAAGAAAATTGTATAGTGTATGTCCAACCTTACTCTATCCAGGACTTTGTGAGGAGCAGCTGCAGAATGTTGGCTCCTAGCTCTGGAGCTCAGCTCTGTTCCAGCAAGTCGGTTCTAGTTCTGGAGTGTACATAAAAATTGATGAGCTGTGCTCCGAGGCCTTTTCTGCAAGGCACAGTATTGACAGTTTGTGTTCCCTTTTTTCTTTTTCTTTCTTTTGCTTTAGTTGCCCATAGACAAGGTATATAGCAGCCGTCTACATGTCCCATCTGAGCACAAAGTCTTTCATAATACATTGTTGTACATCTGGGACACATTCAAATATTAATACACTAATTCCTTCCAATTTACCCGAGCAGTCTGCTTTGTAACAGACGGTGTGCATCATGCGTCTGTTGAAGGCATCACAGCACCTTTTAGCGTTTACCAGGAACTGGGACAACTGCCACGTACACAAATTAAGTGTGCAACATGCCTTCTCCCGCGGCCGGATATTAAACGGTATTTTACAGTAATCGCTTGTCGCTTGCTGGCATTTCACTGGCATTTCTATTTGGGTCAAGAAAACGTTGTTTTTGCAAAATTTATGGGAAGTACGCATTGTTGTGCTCTTTCTGTAACCAGTAGGGAAAATGAAGCCGTTTATTCCTGGTAATTGGTTAGTGGGAGTAGACATGTAGATTATTCCTAATGCTCCTGTGGCCAATACATCCGGAAATGATGATTTATAGATGCAGCCAAAGAAATAGAGCCATGTATCCAATTTGCATGTAGCTGTTAACAGACTGCTACGCCTTTTCAGTGCAAGATACGGAAACCGTGGCTTCTAAGAGGCGGATCTTGTGGTCATGTGGCCGTTGAGGTGATTGTAGTGTTGATTAATAAAAAATACCATTAAGGACCAGTTCACACGACATGCGTTTCAGTTGCTTTTTTTCTGCATCCAAAATGCACAGAAAGTAGGTGATATGGTTGTCAGCAGGGGTGGACTGACCATTTGGAAACTCGGGCACTGCCCAAGGACCTGGGGTCAGTAGGGGGCCCCATGAGATGCCCCTGGTACCTTTTTCATAGGCTTTTTTGAGTTTGGGCAAGGACACAGGGCCCCTTGATCCCCTATTGCCCGGGGGCCCCATGAGTTCTCAGTCCGCCCCTGGGGTTGTCAGTGTTATAGTTCACATCAGTGCTTGCACTTCCAGTGCATTCCAGTTGCAGAAAAAAAAGTAGAACAGGCTGCATTTTTTCTGCACAGAACTGAACTGGAACGTGGTAAAATGCATAAAAAACGCACAGAAAGTAGGTTATATGGTTGTCAGCAGGGGCGGACTGACCATTTGGAAACTCGGCCACTGCCCAAGAGCCCGGGGTCAGTAGGGGGCCCCATGAGATGCCGCTGGTACCTTTTTCATAGGCTTTTTGGAGTTTGGGCAAGGACACAGGGGCCCCATGATCCCTTATTGCCCGGGGGGCCCCATGAGTTGTCAGTCCATGCCTGGTTGTCAGTGTCATAGTTCACATCAGTGCTTGCAGTTCCAGTGCATTCCGGTTGCAGAAAAAAAAAGTAGAACAGGCTGCATTTTTTTTTCCAGTGTGTTCCAATTGCGTGAACTGAACACAGAACAGAAAGTAGGTTATATGGTTGTCAAGTTCACACATCAGTGGCACTTCCAGTGTGTTCCAATTGCAGAAAAAAAAAGTAGAACAGGCTGCATTTTTTCTGCACAGAACTGAACTGGAACGTGGTAAAATGCATCAAAAACGCACAGAAAGTAGGTTATATGGTTGTCAGCAGGGCAGACTGACCATTTGGAAACTCTGGCACTGCCCAAGGGCCCGGGGTCAGTAGGGGGCCCCATGAGATGCCCCTGGTACCTTTTTCATTGGCTTTTTTGAGTTTGGGCAAGGACACAGGGGCCCCATGATCCCTTATTGCCCGGGGGCTCCATGAGTTGTCAGTCCGCCCCTGGTTGCCAGTGTCATAGTTCACATCAGTGCTTGCAGTTCCAGTGCGTTACGGTTGCAGAAAAAAAAAGTAGAACAGGCTGCATTTTTTTTCTGCACAGAACTGCACTGGAATGTGGTAAAATGCATTAAAAAACGCACAGAAAGTAGGTTACATGGTTGTAAGTGTCATAGTTCACATCAGTGCTTGCACTTCCAGTGTGTTCCAATTGCAGAAAAAAAAGTAGAACAGGCTGCATTTTTTTTTTTGCACAGAACTGCACTAGAACGCAGTAAAATGCATCAAAAATGCACAGAAAGTAGGTTATATGGTTGTCAGTGTCATAGTTCACATCAGTGCTTGCAGTTCCAGTGCATTTCCGGTTGCAAAAAAAAAAAAAGTAGAACAGGCTGCATTTTTTCTCCACAGAACTGAACTGAAGCACGGTAAAACGCATCAAAAATGCACTGGAACGCACCATAAACACACTGCAATGCACATGTCCCTATTTAAATTGAGGAAAGAGGGAGTGGAAAAAAGTGAAATGGAATGCATAAAAATCACACTGGAACGCATCAAAAACGCACCGGAACACATCAAAAACGCTCGTGTGGAAAACGCATCCGGAACGTGTGGATCACCGTAGAGATGACCAAGGACCAGAACAGCCCTGATCATCTCTATGGCCAAAGAAACCGGAAGCAACAAGTATTTTGTCTATAGTGTGAACCGGCCCTAAAGCAGAATTCTGGGCAAAAATTTTTTTGTACCATCCCGTGGGGCTGTTCCCACACTGCATGGACTAACTGCTTGTTTGTGTCTAGAGATAATAAGAGCAATGATATACCTAATCCGTTGATCCCTGCCACTTCTGTCCCCCCTGCATGCTAGCGGTTTTGTGAATGGACTGATCCTGACACCATCACGCCCATAGACCAGCTCTGGGCGTGAGGACGGCAGGAACAGTCCACCGCTGGATGTGGGGGAGCGCCGTTTTTAGGAGGTTCGAAGGACAGGGTAAGTATAGCCTTTTGGGGGCCCACTGGACAAAGCAAGCAGTTAAACCATGTGATGCGGGCACAGCCTCACTGCACGAGCCCCCAAAAAAAATTTACATGGAGTTTTGATTTGAAGTGATTGAAAACCCTCACCTTGTAAAACAACCCATTCAGTTTATATTCCAATATTTTTTATTGAAAAGAATAAAAGAAATAATGGTATCACAAAACATAGATCACATCTGCAATACACATTAATCTCTGGGAAAGCAAACGAGATATGGGGTCACAAAAACAACGACCAGATGGTGTAGCGTATTTCCCGATGAGCAGCTCAGACATATGCGGAGTATTCTCAGACAAAGAATTTTATATAATACAGAAAATTATAGCTCAATAAACTGGAAAACGGAAGTTCAAAACACAGGGAATCTAACACGTTGTAATCCCAAGTAATGAATACAACCTAAGTAAATGTTATCAGAAATGGGATTATATCATATTTATATCATATGTAGCACACAAGAAAAAAAAAAACTTAAGGGGGGGAGTGGGAAAGGGAAGTGAAAAAAAAGGAGGGGGGTGGGAGCGAGCAACCCATTCAGTTTAAAATAGAAATGAAAGGCAAAACATTTGTGTAGATATTTAAAAAAAAAAACATTATAAATACCTTTTTCCCCTTTTTTATAAGTGATCACATTCCCTCAGAATAAGAGCTAGGGGAGGAGAAAGAGCAGCACATGGATCTTCCCAGTGAATGGCTGTGCAGTGGGCTCTTGTCACCTTATCATTGGAGAAGAGCAGGCCGAGTTCCCAGCACAGCTATAGAACTGACCACCCTCTGCTCTCATGTCTAGTGTGGTCAGTTTTTAAGAGGAACGCAGAGGGACTGGCATGAACACCAGGGATTTCACACAAAGGAAGAAAAACAAAGAGAACAGGATACATTTTCATACAAGTACATGGTACAGCAGTCACATGTTAGGAATATGAAATGTTGGGTTTACATACTCTTTACAGTATACCTGAAGTAAGATTAAAGCAGAGCCATTATTAGTGCGATAAAAGATAAAATAAAAAAAAAAGCTTTTTCTGTAATATAGAACAGTCCCTTGACCCCCTTATGGGGTATTTGTACCCAGTGAGACTTTAAATGTACCACACAGAAGGATTCAGATATAAAGTAAAAACTGCATTTTATTAATTAGAACAACAAAAAAAAACACATAGACTTAAAAAAACACAAAAAAAAAAAAGTATCGTCATCATTTTAGCCCTTGAGATCGGCACATTTCATGATTAAGATTCGCTCACCAGGACGCCATCTTGACAGGAGAGGCATATATGAGGCTGGGAGTTCACCCTTTTAATGATGGGGTGTTCCATTGAGCAGTTCCTGGTGGGCAAGTATGTTTTGGTGCATACTTTGTTGCTTTTTATACCCTTTTGGACATACATCTGCTTTAATTTCTTTCTGCCTTTTTTCTTTGGGTCTGATTCTTTTGTTCCACTGGATTGGACCAACCTCAGCATGCGTGCGATGATAGTAATTTGTCATCGAGATGTCTAGATTCTTTTGACCTTGATGTCTTAGATGATTTTATATTTCCAGATTGGATATGACAATTAAACTGTGTCAGCGCAAATCATGATGAAGCAATTCTTAACCCCAAAATGCATCAAACTCAAGCGCTGAAATGATGATGATACTATTTTGGAATCCAATCTAATATGTTTTCTTTACAATCATTTTTATTGAGTGTAACCTCATAAAATGTAAGGTCTCCACTCAAGCTCCTGTAAGTCCATCCAGTGATTCCTGCAATGAGTGCTGGCTGGACAGGAGTCCGTCTAACTCCTCGTTTACTGTGGATATGCATAAAGAAAGGTCCCAAACATCGCACACTTAAAAAAGCCATTAGTAAACAGGTGAAAGCAGTCTCGGCCAGCTTAATCCAAAACAATGCCTCCAACGCGTTTCACCCTGCTCCCTCAGAGCGCCCAATTTAGCTAGAGTCCAAGCCCTGAGGCCTCAAACTTATGTCTGCCGAGTGTATATCCAGACAATTTCCCCAGGGGTTGAGGGAATGACTTAAGGTAAGTAAGAGGTAGAAAAAAGAAAATGGTCGGAGGGAGTAGGTGATTGAGAGTGACTCAACTGATCCAGGTAGTTGCCCTCACAGGTGATTCAAGTAGCACCAGTTATATAATTAATCCACGGCTCCCATATTTTCTCAAAAAAGGTAATTTTATTATGCAAAATAGCTGAAAGGCATTTATTAACCATGATCTACCCAGCCTCAACCAGGGTGCCCAGGCATCCTGGGGTGCCTTGAGGTTTCTTCAGGGGCACCTTGGCAAAATGTCTAAGAATTGCCCCAACTTGTATTCAAGCCAGCGGGTGGAACAAGCCTGCCTTTTAGTTACACAAAGCCACAGGTTTTCATTGTGCACCATTATGACCTTCTAGCCGCCGGCATCCTGACAACCAATGACATCATCAGTTGATAAGGAGGATGTCAGCTGCGTGCACAGCATCCTAGTTTGACCCTCCCCCGCCCCTCTCCATCAGTGCCGGGGTCACATTAGCTCAGTGATGGAGAAGAGAAACATTGGAATACTAGTCAGTACCAGTGTGCAAAAGTGTATTTGCTGTGGAAGAATAAATCACCTCTTATGTTTGGTGTCCTACATGTGTGGATGTTGCTGCGTTATATAAACCTATTAGAATAGATTTTCACATTTTAGAATGAGGTGCCTCAAGACTGTCCATAATTGTAAAGGGTGCCTCAAGACTGTCCATAATTGTAAAGGGTGCCTCAAGACTGTCCATAATTTTAAAGGGTGCCTCAAGACTGTCCATAATTTTAAAGGGTGCCTCAAGACTGTCCATAATTTTAAAGGGTGCCTCGGGACTGTCCATAATTGTAAAGGGTGCCTCGGGACTGTCCATAATTTTAAAGGGTGCCTCAAGACTGTCCATAATTGTAAAGGGTGCCTCAAGACTGTCCATAATATTAAAGGATGCCTCTGGACTGTCGATAATTTTAAAGGGTGCCTCTGGACTGTCCATAATTGTAAAGGGTGCCTCTGGACTGTCCATAATTTTAAAGAGTGCCTCGGGACTGTCCATCATTTTAAAGGGTGCCTCAAGACTCTCCATAATTTTAAATGGTGCCTCAGGACCGTCCATAATTTTAAAGGGTGCCTCAGGACTGTCCATAATTGTAAAGGGTGCCTCGGGACTATCCATAAATTTAAAGGGTGCCTCAGGACTGTTCCATAATTGTAAAGGGTGCCTGAAGACTGTCCATAATTTTAAAGCGTGCCTCAGGACCGTCCATAATTTTAAAGGGTGCCTCAGGACTGTCCATAATTGTAAAGGGTGCCTCGGGACTATCCATAAATTTAAAGGGTGCCTCAGGACTGTTCATAATTGTAAAGGGTGCCTGAAGACTGTCCATAATTTTAAAGGGTGCCTCAAGACTGTCCATAATTTTAAAGGGTGCCTCGGGACTGTCCATAATAAAGGGTGCCTCGCGACTGTCCATAATTTTAAATGATGCCTCGGGACTGTCCATAATTTTAAAGGGTGCCTTGGCACTGTCCATAATTTTAAAGGGTGCCTCGGGACTGTCCATAATTTTAAAGGGTGCCTCGGGACTGTCCATAATTTTAAAGGGTGCCTCAAGACTGTCCATAATTTTAAAGGGTGCCTCAGGACTGTCCATAATTTTAAAGTGTGCCTCAAGACTGTCCATAATTTTAAAGGGTGCCTCGGGACTGTCCATAATTTTAAAGGGTGCCTTGACCGAAAAAAGGTTGGGAAACACTGGTCTACGCAATATGATATGGTTTTATGTTTATGTGGCTTTTTTTAATGTAGCGCTCACCCCTGGAGCGGCCGCTGGAAATGACCCAGGTTTCCCTTACCTGTTCAGAGGCTGCCATACCCTGGTAGAGGTTCCAGAGCCACCGACAAACACAGGCTCAGTCTAGGGGTGTATTTCTTGTACCTTTATTTGCAGTACTTAAACATAGGAGACTGATGAGGGCCAAAAACAGCAGCAGCTACAGGAGGACAGAATCTCAAGCAAAAATATTCTAGTTTTTCTCCGTATTAGTTACACCTTGCTAGTGCCAAGAAAATATGCCCCACACCATTATACCTCCACCAGGCTGAACTGTTGATACAAGGCAGGATGGATCCATGCTTTCATGTTGCTTACGCCAAATTCTGACCCCCCCCCCCCTTCCCTGCACACAGCTAAATTAGCACATTATCATTCACCATAATGGGCTGTCTCCGAGATTGCTTATAGATCAGTATTGATCCTCCTGGAAACCCAGATCCCCCACTTCTCTCCCTGGACTGTCAAATACCATCTGATGTGTGATTACACATTATAAATGGCCTTCCTCGCAGACCTTCCTATGACCACTGGAAGAAGAGATCATTGTTCATATATGCTGTCCCCCCATAGGACATTTTTTGGTATAAAACCATCACATTTTGGAGTTAAGAAAATACGGGAAATGCCACTGTCAACTTAATCTTGATCGCAACCACATACTTACCCACAAGAAATATTCAGAATGAAAGTTCAGACTTTTCAAGCTGTTGTAAAATAATGTATTGTATAGGGATCCTCAGTATACTGATTTATCTTGTAAAAAAAATGGCATTTACTACCAGCATTAGGATAGGTTGATGAATGTTGATTCTTTCTTCATCCAAACTTTCTGATTTGTTTCCCTTAAAATGGATACATACCCTTACATATACCCAGTGAAGTGGCTGGCCTCAGGTGATACATGGAGATGAAACAAATCCTCCTACATAAGTTGTACCTGTTTATCTACAGTGGTCTTTAACCTACATCCATTCAAAGTGTAGAATTTACACAGGATCTTTCAGGTCTGAAAAAGCAGGGGGTGGGGAGCTGAAGTTACATCAGTGAGGAGAGCTCTTCACACAGCTCACAGGAACAAAGCTGAGGCTGTCAGAGGCTGTGCCCTCCCCGTCACCATTTCTCTCCTGGTGTCAGGAAAACTCATCAGAAGTGACTCATGCTTATAGCAGAGAAATGAAGCATCAGACCAAAATGACACTTAGTACTCTGGATTGAGACAAGTACACACTATAGAGGGATATACTTTGTTCATATTTTATGTCTGAGGTTTACTGCCACTTGAAGTCATTCACAGGAAAGCTTTCTTGGAGTGCACTTACACAGCACTTACTGGATTTATACGGCGAGTTTTACATTGGAAGAAAAGATTTATGGACTTTAAATTTTTGGGTTTTTCTAAAACAATAATTGTATGGTTTATGATTTTGACTGATTTATACTTTCAAGGGTGAAAGTGGGACTTTCTTTAGTGATTTTTTTTTTACAGGTTTTTATAGAATTTTTTGGACACCAATTCACATTTACAAGTCCCATCATGCCTCTGCCTTTGGGAGTCATGCTTCTGTCAGCCTTGCAATGCATCATGGGACTTGTAGTTTGGCAACAGCTGGAGGGCCTCCAGTTTGACACCCGTGGTCTAGATGACTGAAGTTAATAACAGAGGAACGGGACAACATGATCTTACTGAATATACAGAGCAGCACTGCCAATAAGGGACAATTGGTAACCCTAACACTGGAGAAAGCTTTCCTCCACGCTTTATGCGTTTTGCATAAAATTAATAAGGAATTTTTGGTATAATTAATTTTGGGGATTATTGATGAATTTATTTTTTGAGGATAATACACTATTGAGTTTTTTTTATTTTGAGGCACACGGCACTTACTGGATTTATACGGCGAGTTTTAAATCTGAAGAAAAGATTTATGGACTTTAATTTTTGGGTATTTCTAAAGCAATAATTGTATGGACACTAAGAAGGTTTATGATTTTGAATGATGGGACTTGTAGTTTCGCAACAGCTGGAGGGCCGCCAGTTTGACATTTCTGCTCTAGTCAAACGTCATCAGTTGAGCCTGTACAGAAACCCTATACAGATCTGCTGATAATATACGTGCAGGGGCGGACTGACAACTCGTGGGGCCCCCGGGCAATAGGGGATCATGGGGCCCCTGTGTCCTTGCCCAAACTCAAAAAAAACCTATGAAAAAGGTACCAGGGGTATCTCATGGGGCCCCCTACAGACCCAGGGCCCTCGGGCAGTGCCCGAGTTTCCAAATGGTCAATCCGCCCCTGTATACGTGTTAATATTTTCAAAGGCAAGGTGATACTGATCCATATTTTCAATTGGAATCTTGGCAACTCAGGCTCCCAGGTGTGACAGTAATTCTTGGCGCCCAACCAGGTAGCCATGGAAGGACTGCAGGTGCTTGGGTTAGATATGGAACAGAAATGTGTTGATTTCATTTCGGGTGTCCAAGTCATTCTTCTCCGAACAACAGAAGGCGGGAAGCAGAGTCAGCTGTGGTTAAGTACAATTATGTAGAAACAATAGGCCAGCGTGCAAAGAAAATGGCTGATGAGGAGGTGGTAGCCAAGTGTTTCAATCTCCGATCCGGCGGCTCTTGTTTCATTGACGTGTCATGATTGTATTATCAGAATATAAACACTCTTGATTACAGGCACAGATTGCAGTCACTGCCGCTTTCCCATGATAAGCGGCGTGACATTTTCAGCTTGGCGGCATTGTGCGTCCTCCATCTACTGTAGTCTGGATATCAGCCTCCAAGGGGCAGAGGGGGTGGAGGATAATAATACTCTTTTGTTTTGTTTATTGTGTTTCTTTCCTCTTCTCTCTTTCTCTTTCTTTGTACTGTGAGTGCTAAGTGCTTGGAAAAAAAAACTGGCAGACAAAGAGAAAAACATTGATCTGAGAGAAAGAATCATGTTAATTACTGCGGTGTGTTATAGGCCAACCATTTCCCGATCCGTCTGATCACACTTCTTGGCCTGCTGATTTCAGGGGAAGAACTAATCACCTAACAATGGATGTTCCTAGACATCCATTATTGTACGGCCAAGATGAGAATATTGCAAGGAAGGTCCGCACAGTGTCCAAACATGCTTCTGATTGCCAACTCAGGTCAACAATTGGCCATGTACTGCCAGATAAATGTAAGCTATACAACTCTGAGCATTGTGACAGTCATGTGACTAGCTGGTATATTAAAGTGATATTAATCCCTTGCCTACAGGGCACTTATACCCCCTTCCTGCCCAGGCCAATTTCCAGCTTTCAGGGCTGTCACACTTTGAATGACAATTGCGCGGTCATGCAACACTGTACCCATAAGAAATTTTTATCATTTTTTTGTGATAGATAGAGCTTTCTTTTAGTGGTATTTAATCCCCTCGGGGTTTTTTATTTTTGGGTAAACAAACCAAAAACAACTGAAAATTTTGAAAAAAAAAAACGTTTTTTTTTCTGAGTTGGTGTTATAAAATTTTGTAAATAAGTGATTTTTCTCCTTCACTGATGTGCGCTAATGAGGGTGCAGTGATGGGCACTGATAGGTGGCACTGATGAGGAGGCACTGGTAGGTGGCACTGATGGGCATTGACAGGGATCACTGATGGGCACTGAAAGGCAGCACTCATATATGGCACTGATAGGCGGCACTGACAGGCAATGATAGGTGTCACTGACTGGCACTGTTAGGTGGCACTGACTGGCACTGTTAGGTGGCACTGATAGGCAGCACTGGCGGGCACTGATAGGTGGCACTGATTGACAGCACTGATAGGTGGCACTGACTGGCATTGATAGGTGGCACTGACTGGCACTGATAGGTGGCACTGAAAGGCAGCTCAGATGGGCACTGATATGTGGCATTGAAGTGCACTGGTAGGCACTGATATGTGTGGCATTGATATGGCACTGACAGGTGGCACTGCTGGAGCTACACTGATCATCAGGACACACTGATCAGTGCCCTGATGATCAGTGTACATGTACATTGTACAGTGTACATGAGGAATGCTGATAACTGGCTCTCCTCTCGAGCTGTCAGCGTGACAGCTCATGAGGAGGGAAATGCAGATAACCGACATTTTCTTATTTACATGCAATCAGCTGTGATTGGACACAGCTGATCACATGACCGAGCCGACGTCTTCGGCTCTTTTCGTTGATCGGTGATCCACTGTGTCTGAGGGACACAACGCACCACTGATGGCGCCCGAAGCCACGCACGCGCAGTTAGAGTGGGAGGACGTCATATGAAGTCCTCCCAGAACGAGAGAACCGCCTTGCCACTATCATTTCCATATATGGCGGGCGGGAGGCCAATGGCTCCCGCTGCTGTCTCTCAGCCAATGAGGAATCAGAGACCCAGGAGAGCAGCTGCTCTCGTGCACATCACTGGACCGCGATTAGGCTTGGGTTGGTATTGTGGGAGAGCTGCATTCTTTGCATGAAGGTAAATAACCTTCAGCCTTTAGAACTTACTTTAAAGTAAGTCTAAATCTAATCACTAAAATCTCATAGAAGCATTAAAATGTTAAAGCTGAACTTTGGGTTAGAACAATATTGGGCACCAGTTAGGTAACAATAACATGCCTCTGTTGATGTGCGTTCAACATGTTATCGAGATAAATTCACGCACTCCCTGACAGTGATGTCAGCACTGAACTTCCACTGCTGAAACAACAGTTGGGCTGGAGCACAGCGATCACAGCAGGTTACTTGTCTGCAGCTCCTCCATTTACAAAACATTTTGCATTCTTTTCAAAGAATTTAAGCAAGGCATTCTGTGATTGAACAAGGGGTGCATGAACGCTACAATCTCCCCTTATCCAATCATAGAACACCTTATTTTTTTTAAAAGCATACAAGAGGTATTTTTATTAATAGAATAGCTGGTGATCCTTTAGTGAACGTTCTTGTCAACAAAGACCACAGCATGACATGTCAACGATGGGGGGGAGGCTGGGGAGGAGGCGTAAACAATACTGTTGTCTCCTCTGATAGAAAGCTATCAGCATGTCCATCAGCCACAGGCCCCACCCACATAAGCCGACTCACAGCATAGCAAGCTCCCAGGTGCAATGGCTGGTAAGTAGGACAAAAGAAAGAAATAATTGAAAAATTGAGTATTATATTAGAAGAAAGAAGGAGAAAATGGGCCTAAAAAGTCTTGTGGGTAAAGTATCAGGTCAACCGATTGTCACTTTACGATCGTTGCAGCTCCTTAACATCCAAGTCTTACGTATACTCTAGTGCGCAGATTGTATTGACATTATAAATGCATTAACAACAATTATGGTGGTGCCCCCTTCCTTTTGTTTAAATGGCTGCACTTAGATAGTGGCGCCCTCTTCCTTTTGTTGAAATGGCTGCACTTAGATGGTGGCACCCTCTTCCTTTTTTTAAATGGCTGCACTTAGATGGTGGCACCCTCTTCCTTTTTTTTTAAATGGCTGCACTTAGATGGTGGCATCCTCTTCCTTTTTTTAAATGGCTGCACTTAGATGGTGGCAACCTCTTCCTTTTGTTGATATGGCTGCACTTAGATGGTGGCACCTCTTACTTTTTTTTAAATGGCTGCACTTAGATGGTGGCACCCTCTTCTTTTGTTTATATGGCTGCACTTAGATGGTGGCACTCTCTTCCTTTTTTTTTAAATGGCTGCACTTAGATGGTGGCACCCCCTTCTTTTTTTAAAAATAGGCTGCACTTAGATGCTGGTGTCCTCTTCCTTTTGTTTATATGGCTGCGCTTAGATGGTGGCGCCCTCTTCCTTTTGTTTATATGGCTGTGCTTAGATGATGGTGCCCTCTCCTTTTGTTTAAATAAGCTGCACTTAGATGGTGGCACCCTCTTCTTTTGTTTATATGGCTGCACTTAGATGGTGGCACCCTCTTCCTTTTGTTGAATGGCTGCAGGATGGTGGCACCCTTTTCCTTTTTTTTTTTTTTTAAATGGCTGCACTTAGATGGGGGCAACCTCTTCCTTTTGTTGAAATGGCTGCACTTAGATGTTGGCTCCCTCTTTCTTTTTTTGAAATGGCTGCACTTAGATGGTGGCACTCTCTTCTTTTTTTTTAAGTGGCTGCACTTAGATGGTGGCACCCTCTTCTTTTTTTTTTTAAATAATAGGCTGCACTTAGATGGTGGCGTCCTCTTTGTTTTGTTTAAATGGCTGCACTTAGAAACTGGTGTCCTCTTCCTTTTGTTTACAATCCATGGCTGGTAAGGGCCAGAAGTGCGCATATGGTGTGCACAGGGAGCAAAGAGCTTGGGACTTGTAGTTTATCCATGGCTTGGATCATACACTGGGGTGACTTGCGAGCTGCAGGATAGTCCCCTTTTCCACCAGCTCTATTCCTGTAAAGGACAGAAATTCTGGGGCAGTAGATATGGAAGTACAAAATTATGATTCTGGAGGGGCAAATGAAGTCTCTTTTTACATAGGCAACTCCAAAAGGCTTTTAACTTTTCCTTGGCAGGGTAAATGGCTGCTGTTATGATATGCCTCTAGGTGTACTTCCGTTTTTCCTGCCACCTACAGAAAGGCTTTGCCTGCCTCTCTTCATTGTAGGACTATATATTGGAGCAGCCTTTTTTAACCTTTAATTCCCAAACTGATGAAATCATTTTCAGGTCTCAGGGACCCCCTGCTAATCTCAGTTTTATAATTCATTCATTAGGAAGAATGTGCCCCTTACAGTGGTGGTCAGAATCACCCCCTTACAGACCGCTAAAAAGGTCATTGCTGTTATGCAGCTGGCTCTGCCAATAGCCATTGGCCCAGAAACTATGCAAGCATCAGCAAATGGGATTTTATTCTGCCACAACTCAAAGAACCCCTAGAAACCTCTGGAGGAGCTCATGGGTTCCACAGAACCTTGCTTAGGGCTCATGTACACTGCTGCTGATAAACTCACGTTTAGGAGCTGCTCAGTGTTTTTTTTCAGCAGCCCCTGAACTCTCCCTAATGATTTCCTATGTGTCCATGTACACATCGTCATTTACAGTCATTTACAGGCATTTGCGTTTACAGTTGTTTTTTTGAACGCAGAAAACTTGCGTTCAGCAGTCGATTTTATCAACGTTTTAAAAGCAAAACGCTTGTAAACGCAGCTAAATGCGGCAAATCGCATTTATAAGCGTTTGCGCCTGAAATTTTTTTTTTTAACTCTTCCAGTTCCCAAATGCTGTCCAGAGCCTTTTTCATCATGAAAAATGCATGCAAAGCGTTTTCAAGATACTCAGATGGACAAAACACCGAACACAGGATGTCCCTACCAAGCTTGACACACATTGTAATGACCAATTCACACCTCAGACCTCTCCCACCCTTGGAAACAAAAGATATGTTAATGACCTTTCACACCTCAAATTCCTCATGAAGACCCCCTGCCAGGTGGCCTTACTGACTCCCTCCACCAGACACCTTTCCCACCCTTGGAAACAAAAGAAATGTTAATGAGCAACTCACACCTAATTATCTCAACACATCCTGCTGTCTCTGCTTCTACTCTCTGCATTTCTCTGAAACAGTCTGAAATAGTTAATAATTTACCACTTTTCAGTGCATTCTGGGCATTTAGGAGGTTCTCCTGTGCTTATCTTTAAAAATGCTTCCAAACGCAAACGCACATAAACGTGGATAAACAGACTTTTTTTAACCTCCGTTTTTCAGCAGTTTCCATCGTTCAGAAGTGTCCCGTATACATGGGGCCTTAAGATTGGCTGTTTAAGAGGATACCAATTCAGGCATGAAAGTTACTAAACTGACATCATTTTCTCCTAGAGTTGCAACACTAATCCTTAGAGTAAACTCTTGTAAATGAAAATGCAATCATGTAGCTAAATCATTTTATGGAAGTGGAAATGTAATCCCTTCACAGATCCACCACTGCCTCTGAGACCAATAGGGTTCTTGTGGTTTTCTGTGCTGGTTGTTTCCACCAATTCGCAAGATACGTTCAGATCAGCAAGAATGAGTCTCTGAGTATTTAAGATACACGGCATTCATCAAGGGAAATCTACATAAACAGCCTTTAAGCCTCAAATATCTGATTGCATGGTTTCACCTACATGTCAAATTCATCTCTTTTTTTTAAATTCCTCAAAGATATTGAAGCTTTCACATTTATCCCCGTGCCTGGTATTAATAGATATTTTATATAAATTAACTTTAGGCCTACAAGCCCCTTAATGCTTGCTGTGCCTGCTTAGAATCTGTCTACAAGAGCGATCGATGGACAAACAAGGCTGAGAATGTTTCTGCAAAGATCATTTATTTAATCAATCCAGCATTCAGAAGTGGAAAAACATCAACCCAGCTCATTAAAGCTGAACTTCAGCCAAAAATAACAAGATAAAAATGAATAGTCTATTAAATGATAAAATAACAAAAAACAAGTTTTGCAGCAATATTCACTGTCAATCCTGAGTTTTCCCTCCAGTACATTTTTTTTTGTCGCTAGATGTCATCATATTGGTGGCCAGCATCGTTCCTCCTACTTCCCCTGAGCCCTGGTTGTATTGGACCTGCCCCAGCCTGTGATTGGCCTTTTGAAAGGAGAAGCAGCAAAATGATGAGTTAATCTCTCTGTCATTCTGCTTTCTCTTTTCCTATCAGCGTGCTTCTTCTCAGCACATGTACTGATTGGCTCTGTGCTTCCACTTCTTCACTTATGCAGGCCATTTACATCCAAATCAGGTGAACGGTGTAGGAATTACAACAGTTTGCACACTTCTTCACTTATGCAGGCCATACATGGGTCAAATTCGAAACTAATTTTCTTTAGAAAATCGGAAATTTTGTGCGTTTTGTAATCCGATGGTGCCATTGATTTCGAAATTTGACCAACCAAGCCTTTAATTACAACTTATGTTGCTACAGAAAAGAATTTTCGTGGCCAAGAATTACCTTTTCTTTCCAGGTCAATTCCAACATGCCCGATCACTCGATGGTCGCACACGAAAATCGGTTGATACTGTGGCCCACTAATGGTGCAAAATTCAAACGAAAATTCTTAGAAAAGATTATCGAAAGAAAAATCTTTCGGAATTCGACCCGTGTATGGCCAGCTTTAGTCTCAGCTTTGCTGTACAGGGTTAGCAAGAGA